TTCCTGCTTTTCAGTCTCCTATAGGTGCATCTAAATGATGAAATTAAACATGGCTGGGAGTCTAGAAGACAGGTTTTTGGCATTGCAATTTTTCCAACTGGAGGGAGGGTAGAATGGAAGTAGAAAGAGGCTATCCAAGGTATCTATAATAAAGACACTTTCAGAAACGTTTTAGAAGATAAAATTCATATACGAAATGGTTTTGAAGACCTGAATTGTACAATAACTAAACCTATCTTTGAGTTCCCCTAAAAGTTGAAAAAGATGGCTCAATCAAGCAACATGATACAGTTTGGCAGTTTAAAGTGCTCAAAAGACACACAAATGTAGTTTATGTTGTTCTTTACCTAAACTGTAGCAGCATGATTTTTTCCCCCAAGAATTATCTAAATAAAAGTATAAATGATAAGAAGGATCCTGAAAAACGAGACTAGCTTTTCTGAAATAAGCTGCTAGAAAAGGGCTAATTCACTCATTCATTTATTCTTGCATGCTTTCCTACAGGAAATAGTCACTAAATGCCTATTATATTGTGCTAGGGGGTGAGTACACTTAAAGGTGGATAAACCAACATAAGTCCTAGTCTAATGAGACCTGCAGTTTGATACGGGAGGCACACAGTGACTAAGAAGACATAATGTCGACAACTCGGGGTAAGGGACATGGAGGAAACAAATTTGGGGCAATGACAGTGGAAACAATAGGTGGGGACAGCGAGCTATTTAGATAGAAAGCTTGTTACAGCAGGCTCTCTCGGAGACATTTAAATTGGAATCAGATGTATTGGAAGGATCCAGCCATTGGTGGGGACATCTTTGTGTGATGTGTGAATATGGTATGTGCATGTGTGTGTGGTATGTGTATATGTGTGATTTGTATGAAAAGACATACAAGGGGTCAGGATATGCAGGGACATGTGCAGGTGTTTGAATTTATTAAAATTGTAATGGGAAACTCTTGAAGGGTATCAGCAGTGGAGAAAATATTTTGATTTGTGTTTAATACAAGTATATTCTCATTTAGATAATAGGTTAGAGGGAGAAAAGAGAATAGGTACACCAATGAAAAGGTGGTGTCATTTATTGAAATGGGGAAGCCTATACGGGAACAGCTGTGATGGAAAAAATTCAGAGCTTCCTTTTGAGTGTGTTGTTTCAGGTGTATGTGATGCATCGTCCAAACTTGGTATCAGGAGCTATTTTAGGTGCTTTACACATACTAACTCATTCAATCTTTATGATAAATCAGGAAATAAGCTATTATAACCCTCATTATAAAATTGAGAGGTAGTAAATGTCAGGGCCAGGACATTAACCCAGGTAGTGTGGCTCCACAGCCACATACTCTGAACAGTCAATTAGAGATATGGGTCTGGAACTCAGAGGAGATTCTGAAGTGAAACCATAGAAAGAGTTATCCATATAGATCACAGTTATTGTTCTGGGAGTA